ATGGCAAAAGAGGAACTCCCGTTCACAAAATTCAAATCACAAATAATACTACTGATGAAAAATAACGGGTTGAATGTTAACTACATTAGTTTCCATATAACTATAAACTATGATAAAAGTTCATCAGCATGCATTGATTAATAGCATGTTGTGGCACAAAATTAAAATAAATAATAAATAAATTAAAAAACGTACTCCTGCAACCAACTGAGAAAGTTAATCGCAAAAGAGCGACCAGTGGAAAGAATGAGTCTGGAGCCCTGAATTGCGCAGCTCCCTCTGTCACTCAGCACCTGCGTTCAAAATTCTCTGGCGCCGCCCCTGGTACATCAATGTATTTTTGAAAAGCAAAAATTAAGTTTGTCCAACTCTAAACCTAGTCCTCAAGTAAATTAGGTTATTAAATAAAAAATATAGCAAAACGTGTTGCGCGGTGTCCCCACCACTTTTCAAAGCAAAGTTACGCCACTGCCTACAAATTAGATTATTGTAAAGCATTACCATTCAGTTTTTACAGCATTTAATATTTGTACATGCTTTTTCCAGTTGTCCTCAGAAACCCACATGTATACATAAAGATTGATGCTCAGATTCACATTATTTTATGGATTTCTTTAATATGTCAGATTAAATATAGGTTACACTTTACAATAAATGAACAAAGTTAAAATAACTAAAGTTATTACCAAATAAAATTAGTAAATGCTTTATTAATCACTAAGTTGAATAAACACTTTAGTATTTTTCATTGATAGTTAATATTGACTAATGTCGTCAACTAATGTTAACAAAAGGAACCTTATTGTAAAGTGTAACCTAAATGTATGTAACCGATTTTAATGGTCCCTGTCACATAGGACATCTCCTGTCATGTCAGAAATCACATGACAGTGAAAACAATTGTTAACTGATTAGTTTAGCTCCTGTAAGATTCACACAAAAATCTGAAGTAAAAGCTACAACATAGTGTCATAATTCATAATGAAATTGTGATCTGGTGCTGCGCTGTGAAATAGTAGTCTTCCTCTCTTGCCAGCAGATGGCTGCGTGAGCGAGTCCTTCATGGCCACTGGATCACAGTGATGCAACAGCTTTGGATGACAGTAAAGTATTGATCTCATGGTATTCAGAGCATTTATTCAATTTAAGCAAAATGAATGACCCAAATGTAGATGCAAGTGCAGATACTGAAGAGTGTGAGTTTACTGAATGGAGCACTTAATGGCTAAAGAATGACGTCAGTCAATCTTTAGACATTATCAGTGTGCCAGAGCCATGATTGGCTGACTGGTGCCTGTCTGTCTGATGATTGGCCAATGGGAGATAATTAGACACCTACACAGATACTACACAACTCCTCATAGTGAATATATAGGGGCTTGACCATTGAAGCTGCACACAGTAGTATCAAGGCAGTCATCAGGTTCAGAGAATCAATATTTTTTATCAAGCAGCAAGACAAGGTGAGGTAAGACTTCTAAAAATGTATGTTTTGTGAGATAGAAATCTTTGTGGTTTTGGACAGGGACATCTTTCCTTCTACTAACTGGTTTAAGGAGTGAGTGAGGAATGAGGAATGAGGAGAGGACCCTAGTCGGCAGATATTCACAGCTTCTTGTAGAAGGCAATGAGTTTTGTATGTGGTGCAGCCCACCCTCACAGAATTTGAGAGTAAAATCAGATAGACGGTGAATTTCCAAATCCGTTTTAAAGCTTCACTGTATTTTTGTCTCAGGGTACCATGTTTATGTTGAAGATCTCTGCCTTCCTTGTCGCTTATGCCGCAGTTGTGTGCCAGATGTCCTGCTCAAACGCTGCCCCAGCAAGGTAAACTCTGTCATTTTTTGTCTGTGACATTTAGCTGATGGGTTCTTCAGCTGTATCTCATCAGGTGGCAAACTGTTGCTCTTCTCCGTCATTGTTTGATCTTCAGACCTGGTTCAGAGTCTCTGACAGACAGATTTGCACTCATGGACTACGAAGCACGAAGATTACTGAGTGCTATAGTCAAAAACGTAGTGCAGATGACGGCGGAGGAACTGGAGCCAACGAATGATGACAACAGGTACAACTTCAGCATTCTCTCACAGGTTCTGCTGTATTTGAGGATTTTCTTAGTGGAGGGTTTTCAGTGGAAAGAGTGTGTGTATTTTAAACTACCGACTTCTGCTTTCATTCTGCAAGAGGCAATCAAAGTAGATCCAAATGCCTGCTACTCCTAGCGGAGTTAGTAAAGTGAGGAATCCACTGAGATTTGTGACAAAGTCTCTCTGCCCGAATGAGGTGTATCTTCTTTTATTTCAGTATAATGCAGTAAAACCCTGTCTGCTTGCCGAGGGAATGTCCTAACAGCAGCAGCATGTTAATCTTCCCATTCACTGGAATGGCTGCATGTTAACCCCAAGAGTTTTGTTCGTTAGACGCACAGCATGTTCTCTCTCTTAACCTGATGCATGCAGTGAAGGGCTCTGTATGAACACTAACGGTGGTCTGGGTGGGACCCTGCATGTCTGTGATGATACGCCTGTCTGCATGTGTGTTTCTCCCGACAGCCAGGGCAGATTCCTGTCCAAGCGTTGCTCCAATCTCAGCACCTGCGTGCTGGGAAAACTCTCCCAGGAGCTGCACAAATTACAAACGTTCCCGCAGACAGACGTGGGCGCCGGTACGCCCGGCAAGAAACGCAGCCTGCTCGAGGGCAATCAGTTTACAAGCTACGAAGAAACGTTTAACGCCATCTAACCCTAACTGTGTGTTCTACGGTCCCGTTGCATGTGGATTCTGCCTGCTTGACTGATCGCACACAAACGGCTGGTTGCAATGGTCTTTTTTTTCTTTCTTTCTTTTGGCAGAGAAAGGCATGTTAAAAATCTAGATAAAATTTCTTCTGTACATAGTCAAATTCAGGAATAGTTTTCTGTGCATTTTACACATGCCTCTTGAATAACTGAATACATGTATTATAAAAATAATATCAACTGATAATAACCAAATAAAAAAAAGTATGATTTCTTTAAAGTGTTCAAGTTCAATAAAGTTGTTTTTTATATCAGGAACTCTTACTTTGTCAGATTATTAGTTACATCAATTTGAATTCATTTTATATGTATGTTATCATTGAGTGCCTCTACAAAAAAACATCCAATACATGAAGAATTCTGCAGGTAAGACGTCTGAAATGACAACTGTGAATGTGAGCAAATAATAATGGCATAAATATCACCACTATATATACGTAAACTCTTTTTATAGGACATATCTATGAATAATGCATGAACGTAATCTAATGACTGCTGTAAATGTCTAACAGAGAGAGCGTGTCTTCTGAAGTCTGGTCTCGCTCTGTGTTGAAGCAGCGTTTCGCCACAGAAGCGCGCGTGTAACACAGCCACGTGTGTCACTCACCGTCTGGCGGACTTCCTGAGCCGTTCCGGTGGGATGGGCAATAGCAACTTCGTCCCGACTAACGTGGGCTCCCAAGCATTCGGCCGTCGGAGGAGAAACTCGCGGATGTGAGCGGCTCCAGTCATGCGGGGTATGAAAATGCTTTTGAGAGTCCTTTCTGTATGTCTTGTAGGCATGAGTCCCTGATTGGTTTTTTATTATATATTTTTTTTCTGTTTCAGCTGTGAACTCGGGGCCAATTCATTTTCAATCGGAGAGAACAGAACAAGTACAGCTACAGAAATCGTCTCACTTTCCAAGCTGCAATAGCGGTATTGATCTCTCTCAAGGCGGAATTTTAAAAATGCACTTAAGCACCTGTGTTATATTATTCCTTATGTATTGACAGTGTCTAAAATTCAAAGAAATCTAGATTTTTATACAAAATAAATCAGATTCATAAAGATATTGAGTGTTTATTCTCCATCTCTGTGAGGACAGAATAAATCCAGCCTGATCAAGACTTGAGGACGGCTGTGTATACGTGCCTACTTGCTTGTGTAGGTTGTGATACTAAATGGGAAATACTATAGATATGAACTTTGTGATTGTTACGAACTTCTGAGAAGATTAAATGTATTGTGGATCCATCTGAGTGAAGGCATTAGGGTTTGCATTTCGGAAGCCGTAGAAAAGGCTGCTTTGGGAGAGCATCTGTTCTGTTCTCACTCAGATTTCTAAACAAACAGGTGAGACCTGCTGAACTGCCCACATACAAAGAACCCCACAGGACTTACAAACATGACTTCATTCAGCATCCTCTCTCTAATTGAATCGCATGGTATCGTTCGGTCTGTAATAAACCTGTAGCAGGTGAAGATAAGGGCCATTAGCATCAGGAAATGACAAAACAAAGTAAAACTATTGAGTGAACACCAAAATGGCTTGGACTTGATATAATCCTGTTATAATAGAGCTTGTTACAGCTTTGCTGACATTGTGGTTTTAAAAAGCATTAGCTGAACCATCAAATAGCTACCTTTGATCATTCATCAAGTCCTTTCAGTTTAGACCTTTCCTGATCTGTCCAGTTCCTTCAAACTTGAGAAAGTGTTGTACCATCATCGTCCAACAGATGGCAGAATGAGTCTCAGTTTAAAAATAAATTTTACTTTAAAACGAATGGTTTTGATGGTTATTTAAAAACAGATACGAAGTTGCTGATATTATGCAGCCAATTGAAGCAAACCCAAGAAACCCTTAGTGATAGAAGTATTACTAAAGGTGTTCCCAACTTCAGGGGTTTGTTTCAACTGCTCTTCTATGGCGCGGTTCTCTCTTCAAATTGTGTCTGTGGGATTTTTCATCAACAAGTGAAAACACAGGAGCTGAGGATCATTCATGTCTGCAATACAAACACTGGAGGATGATGCACAAGTTTAATATTTTAACATATCCTCTTTAGAACTGTTTTTCAAAAGCATAAATAAAATACTCTTGTCATTTGTCCATGTTTCCAGTGTTTCTTTTTTGTGTTATACTAAATCAGAATGACAAAAATAATCCTTCAGATTTCTGATGACTTTTTCTGATGATTTGAAAAGTACATCAACGTATAACAAACACCAGTTCAACTTAAAACACTTTGCTAGAGAGTCATTTGTAATTCCTAAACCGCAGAACATATACAGCATCTGTAATCAGAGCTGTGTAGATTACTTACAAATTGTAGTCCATTACTGATTCCAAATTACAGGACAAAAATTGTAGTTAGTAATGTAACATTACATATTTTAGGTAATATAACAAAACTACTTTTTGATTACTTTTGACCTAACTTGTTTATCACATTGACTTAAACAGGATAACCTTGTACCATATTGATTTAGAAAATACAAAGAGGAAAAAAAAAATTCCATTTATTGTTAGGTAATAACGTTGTTGGGGAACCCTAATATTAACAACATGAAATGCATTAAACATGCAGTTTCCCAAACACATGAGTTTAATGAAAAGCTAATAATTCATTTATAAAAATGTAAAATTCAAAAAAATCATTTTAAAACAAATAAACAATTAATGTGTCCATGATGCAATGTTAAAACAGTTCTTAAACCTGAAATTAATTCTGTAAATTCAGTAGTTAAATGCTATGTAGCCACCTGACCAATGACTGGTCGTTTATGAATGTCCACAAAACTGGAAGACTTTCTGAGTGTATATAAACGGTAGGCTATGCTAGAAAGGAATATTTGAAGGAATTAAGGATTAGATGAATTACGAATAATTATGAATAATTTATTGTTATTGTGTGAATAATATGTAATCATGTAATCAATAAAAACGTAACTGATTACGAGTATTTTAACATTTAATTTAATATAATTACAAGTACTTCATTTTTGGAATCTGATTACATAATCCAGATTACATGTAATCAAACTGTTTTTCAAAAGCATAAATAAAATACTCTTGTCATTTGTCCATGTTTCCAGTGTTTCTTTTTTGTGTTATACTAAATCAGAATGACAAAAATAATCCTTCAGATTTCTGATGACTTTTTCTGATGATTTGAAAAGTACATCAACGTATAACAAACACCAGTTCAACTTAAAACACTTTGCTAGAGAGTCATTTGTAATTCCTAAACCGCAGAACATATACAGCATCTGTAATCAGAGCTGTGTAGATTACTTACTAATTGTAGTCCATTACTGATTCCAAATTACAGGACAAAAATTGTAGTTAGTAATGTAACATTACATATTTTAGGTAATATAACAAAACTACTTTTTGATTACTTTTGACCTAACTTGTTTATCACATTGACTTAAACAGGATAACCTTGTACCATATTGATTTAGAAAATACAAAGAGGAAAAAAAAAATTCCATTTATTGTTAGGTAATAACGTTGTTGGGGAACCCTAATATTAACAACATGAAATGCATTAAACATGCAGTTTCCCAAACACATGAGTTTAATGAAAAGCTAATAATTCATTTATAAAAATGTAAAATTAAAAAAAATCATTTTAAAACAAATAAACAATTAATGTGTCCATGATGCAATGTTAAAACAGTTCTTAAACCTGAAATTAATTCTGTAAATTCAGTAGTTAAATGCTATGTAGCCACATGACCAATGACTGGTCGTTTATGAATGTCCACAAAACTGGAAGACTTTCTGAGTGTATATAAACGGTAGGCTATGCTAGAAAGGAATATTTGAAGGAATTAAGGATTAGATGAATTACGAATAATTATGAATAATTTATTGTTATTGTGTGAATAATATGTAATCATGTAATCAATAAAAACGTAACTGATTACGAGTATTTTAACATTTAATTTAATATAATTACAAGTACTTCATTTTTGGAATCTGATTACATAATCTAGATTACATGTAATCAGTTACTACAAGCTCTGTCTGTAATTATGCATTGAGGTACTTAATCAGTTTGTTCATTTGAAATAAAAATGTGAAAAAAGGAATGGTTTTCCTGCGTTCCTACTGTTGCAGAAGAAAAACAAAGAGGAAAGATATGTACTTCTGGTGTGCTTGTGGTTAATGGCAATTTACTGGAAGTTGGTGTACTTTGAGCACATTATATAACCCAAAATTATAGCCATTATTTCAAAGAAATTTATTTTTCACTAGTTGTTTTTACGGTCTCCATGCAATCCATTTGGATGAACTCACTTGCGGAGGCTTTTGCGGTATCCACATGGAAAGTTTGCATGGAAGATCGTGGCAGGCTTGAAATCAAGGATTGTTTTTTTTCTTCTGTTCTTCTCTTTTTTGCGGGGTTTTGTAACATTCTCAGTGATCTTCCTAGCGAGCCACTGAAGAGAGCACTCTTAATAGTGAACAGCTGTTTGTTTGTCACTGAAGTTGAAAATAAATCGTAACAGTGTGAGCAAGGATCTCCTTCTTTATAAACACCCAGAGAGTCACTCATCTTTTTCAGTAAGCCATAAAAGTGCAAAGGGTCATATTTCTACTCTTTTTGTTGTTGTTATATGTTTCAGCATCAAGGTCTGCATGAACATCTAAATGTGCTTTTGAACTGATGAGTTCCAGTGAAATGGACTATGCGTTCCTCAGCATGTGCTGTCTTTTGTTTTCATAGGACTTTTTTTTCATGGCTGATTTTTCCACAGAGTAGCTGAGGCGAAATCAGATACCCTGAAAGTTTAATGGTAAAAGTCTAGGAATAACTGAGCCCAGACAGCTCCTCCCAAAATCTCCCCTCTTCTGAGATTTTTCAAAAAACAGTCGTCTTGTCACATAAAAAAACAAAAAAACAAAAAGTTTTCCTTCCCATCTCAGCGGCAGCTCTGCCTCCTGGCTCTCCTCACTGTTTTCCCCGGCGTCTGTTACCTCTCTCGTCCCTCCCCTATTCCACATCTGGATTCCAGGCCCACATTTATTTATGTGACTCCAGTTGTTTTTAAGGGAGTTTAAAGTTCTTAACCATGTACTGTTGGCAGCTGGGCTGGATCCGATGAAGTCTACAATTACACTTTACCATAGCCGGTCACTCCACAATTACATGTTTGACCACAGAATGTCTTGAAAAGCACAACCCTGCCGCTCATATGGCAGACAGAAATAGACTGGTTTCGTGTCTGGTTGGACTTTTGCCCAGCAGAAACTATGCTGCTTGACTGACGAAGAGATGTGGGCTCAGCTCATTTCAGTCCCAGATCCGCAGTGAACATCGCACAGTGGAGACTCTCAAGACCAAATGTGCTGCCTTACTGACTGGAACGCGCAAACTTTGAGAAACTGACAAAGTGCCCTGGTAAGTGTTGCTTCTTTTTTCATGCGCTTAGTTTATAGAGGTTTTTCTTCTCGAATGCCGTGACCCCCTGAACCCAATGTGTGTGGGACAGTTTATGGAGCAGCATCATCAGCGTAAATCATCCAGTCTGATATTTGACCAGTGTGGCAGATCTGTTTTCCTGTGCAATATTTCAAATGTCTCATGTCTGGTGATGGGAGCTTTAAACCTAGATTCATTAATATAGTACCCTGTCCACTTGTCTTGAATTCATTAGTCACACCATTATTGTGCTCTACAGGTGCATTTAAAAATGTTGAGCTCTCAAATTCTGGCTGTTGCTGTCGAGCTGATGGGCATTTATGGAAGCATCACACATGTGGAGATTCTCTCGCTTATCACAGAACTCGAAGAGCAGAACCGTTTAATGAGCATCTAGAGATGAGCGAGGAGACTCGAGTGTCTCCACTGACTCAAACAAATGCATCCGTAGATTTAAATGGCTCAGGGATACTGTTACTCCCCTCGATCCACACAGAAAGACTCTTTGTTTTATGAGAGTTAGGCCTCAAGTCAAACTCAGCCATGCAGGCTTGTAGTCAGCATTTTTCTCCAAACCCAAAGT